GACAACGCAACATTGTAGTTATAAATCTCCAGTAAATTCCATTCTGACTGCAGTAATTCATAACTGCTAGATTCCGGACGACTGACAGCATTGATTCTTCAAGAACCTCACTAGTTAATTTGAAATTTGGAGCGTTATCGCTCAGGACAGTTCGTGGCATCCCATGCCTTGCAATGAATCTACACAGTATGTATATGAAGGCTTTAGCAGTTAAATACTTCATTACCTCTAAATGAACTGTTCTGGCACTCAGGCAGGAAAACAGTGCAATTCGAATAGATGAGCACAGACGCGCTACGAAAATCGAACGCCTCAATGGCGAAGACAGCTGTTAAAACTACTCGGCTGGACCGGACTGGAGAGAGGAACGTGACTACTGGGAGGGAGTGAGGGAAGCTTTTATACCGAGATTTTGTCCCTCCCTGCTAGCTAGCAATATGGCCGTATTCTTGGCAGGAGGTCAACCCACAATACAGTTCTCAGTACCAGCTGAGCGGGGGGCTATCTACAGGCCTCAACAGCGCAAAACTACTGTTGTTCGGTTTCTGGATGGCCCGGGTGTTCCTTCAACTGTTGCCGGCTCCTCGGCAATAACTTGGGTAGCAGTGGGGTCTTCGTCCTTCGTAAGTCGTCTACAACACCACAGCGCTTCAAAGGGTCGACACTTCACTGAATCGACATTTCGCTGAATCGACCCATTCCTTTGGATCGAAACACCCCACTGGATCGTCACCACTTTACAATGCAGATACGGCGGGCTTATATAGGCCGCTTTCGCGCCCTTACACGATCTACTAAGAGGAAGTCATGATGCCCCTCCGGCTACAAAAATCGCCTTTGATCTTTCTAGCCAGTATACAATACTCAAGCTTAAACTTATTAACCACAAGTACAAAATTAAAACCAACAGGCTAGAAGGTACGAGGCGGGTCGGTTAGATCATTTGTTCTTGCACCTTTCGTGCTGTAGCAAGATCGCAAGGAATCACAGTAGCTAACCCTGTGACATACTGGCCCTCGAAGTTCGGGAAGTTAATTGTGCAACTGTGTGGTATGTCAGTTGCAGATGTCGACTTCAGTGAAACGACAAATGAAAAGTGGCTAGTCCGCAAAAAAGGCCGCACTAGAGGAGTTAAATCTGAAATCTTTTGGTCACACATGAGTAGGGAACGCTACCCTAGAGTTTCAGCTTTCTAGGTTTTTTCGTTCCCGGGTTAGTAGTTTCCGCGCCAAAATTTCCACGTGCCCGTACGTTGGTCCCGGGTGCTTTCAAACACCTGATTTTGGTCGCACATCAGTAAGAAACATCCTCCGAAAGTTTCAGCTTCCTGGCTTTCCCATTCTTGGGTTAGCAATTTTCGCGCCAAAATTTCTATGCGCACGTACGTGGGCTCGGGTGCTTCTAAACACCTGATTTTACTAGTACATGAGTGGGGAACATTCCTCTAAAATTTGAGCCTTTCAGCTTTGCCCGTTCCCGGATCAGTAATTTTCGTGCCAAATTTTTCACATGTAACGTACGCGGACCCCGGGCGCCTTCAAACAACTGATTTTGGTCGTATATGAGTAGGGAACACTCCCGTAAGATTTCAGCTTTCTAGCTCTTCCCATTCCCGGGTTAGTAATTTTCGCCAAAATTTTCATGCGGGCCGTCCTAAGCAACTGAGTTTTAAAGCTTTTGGTGGTGCATGAATAGGAAACATACCCCCAAAGTTCCAATTCTGGCTTTTTTCACCCTCGAGTTGTGGATTTTCCCGCCATAATTTTCACGTGCCCGTACTTAAGCCCCGGAGACTCCTGGGCAGCTGAATTTGAAACCTTTCTGTTATACACGGGCAAAGAACATTACCCTAAGATTTCAGCTCTCTAGCTTTTCCCATTCCCGAGTTACCAGTTTTTTCGCCAAAACTTTCATGTGCTGGTACGCGGAGCTCAGACGTGCATGAGGATTGATACCGCGGTCCTGGGGTGGCACTTGGCCGGGGAACACACCAGCAAATTTCAGCTCCAAAGCTTGCGTTGGCGAGTTAAAATACCCGGACAGACGAACACACACACACACAAACATACACACACTTAGGGTCGTTGCAATATGCGTTTTTGCTGCCTGTTGCAGCGCTCCAGCGCTGCATGGCAAAAACGCACAAAAACAAACTTCAAACAACTTGTTTTTCACATGCTTATCACGGCCAATCGCCATATCCGTATTACCATCAGCGCGTTATTCGTCTCAATATACGGCAGCCGAGCTCGTACCTGCTGCGGCTTGTTTCGATATGCATCCGGCCATTGACGAATTCTTACACGCGCCCTTTCGTTACAGTGACGTTGTTCCGCTCTCATTCACCTCGATACTATAGGTCGTTCCATACTGCTCCGCATCCCTGTTCGACGCGCTATTGTTTGTACGTTCTCGAGTCGGCTTTCGATCGGGACACTGCAGAGAAATTAATTTTGAAATTAATTAATTTTTCCGCGCCTGCTAGCGTTATCATTCCTTGGCGACTGCATCTAGCTAAGGCAGTCATGGTATGATAAGCATACTGATAAGCCGATCGTTTCTTATTGAAATTTTTAGATCCGAAGCATTGTCCTGTACTAGTCCTCTTTATACTCCCCTTTTCGTCTGCTCTATCATACCGAAGCTAACCTGATTTTCCGATATTGTGCATATGACTAATTTAGC